CCCATATGTATGTTGTTTGTGAGGCACTTTAGATATCTGCTCAGGCCTGCATTTAGAAAATGCTCAATCTATAGAAGAATATAGCAATATTGATGAATTACTAGTCAATAACTCCTTAATTTGTGCATATGCATACAATGCAAGTATATATAGATGGCAATGAAATTTTAAAAATATAGTAAAAATTTATTTAAAAAAATGGTTGAGACAACATAGTAAGAACAAAAAAAAAAATATTACATACATGGACAATGGACTTCTATACATAACAAAATTGGACATAAAATTACAATTACTATATGACTGTATGCTTAATCAATAGTGTTTTTGTAATTTATCCATTAATTTTTTTTTTTGGACCACAAAAATACATAGCTCCCAGTTATAGCCCATCGTCATTGGACCCTAAAAAAAAACAAAAAATGGAATCGTCTATCAGCAGATTTCCATTTGGTGGGGGTTGGGGATGATTGCATGTGAAATTGGTTTGTGACTTATTGAACAATACTTGATTGGGCTTAGAAATCTTCTCGTAGCCCAAGTTCTCAGGCCTCTTAAGAACACCTCAATTAAGGAATTTGTGTTCAATCTGGATCATTTAAAACATAATTTAACATTGAAGACCATCTTTGTGCCCCTTTGTTTATATAATCTAATATGAAGACCATCTTTGTGCCCCTTTGTTTATATAATCTAATATGATTCAATTCTTGTAGTGTTTTTATTTAGTTTGTATTATTTTGCAAACATAATTTACAGTTTTTATGCTAATATTGAGCACCTTTTTTTATTTTTTTAAGTGACTTTGCACAGTGATATGGAACCTAACAATGTTGAGAATGACGAGGGTGATTGTGATTGGAAGCCTAGAGTGCACATGACATTTGATACAGAACAAGAAGCATATAATTTCTATAATGCTTATGGAGGAAGGATGGGGTTTAGTATTAGAAGGGGTTATGTAAACAAGAACAAGGAGGGGCAAATCACTTCAAGGCTATTTGTTTGTAATAAGGAGGGGTTTCGGGGTATAGACAAGCGAGATCCATTAACAAAAAATCCTAGGCAAGAAGTGAGGACTGGTTGTCAAGCCCGACTAATCATTAAGTGGGATAGGAATATTCATAAATTTTTTGTTGGTGAGTTTGTTGAACAACATAATCATATTTTTGTACCAACAGAATGTACGCATATGTTACCATCCCAAAGGAAGATATCTGCATCATAGGCAGCCGAAATAGATTTAGCTGAAAAATCTGGAATCCGGCTTAATGCTGCATTTGAGCTCATGGGTAATGAAGCTGGTGGAAGGGAGTCGCTTGGGTTCACAAAAGTGGACCAAAAAAATTATTTGAGAACGAAGAGGCAAAAGAGTTTAGCATATGGGGAGGCAGGTAGCATTTTGCAATATTTTCGTGAGAAGACATTGGAGAATCCATCTTTTTTTTACTCGGTCCAATTAGATAGTGAGGAGCAGATTACAAACATATTTTGGGCCGATGCTCAGATGATCATGGATTATGGGCAATTTGGTGATGTTGTCACTTTCGACACTACTTACAAGTTAAATAGTGCACATAGACCATTTGCGTCTTTCGTTGGATTTAACCATCATAGGAAAACTGTTATATTTGGCGCAGCTTTAATGTATGATGAGACTGCTGATTCTTTTATATGGCTTTTTAGAAGATTCTTGGAGGCAATGTCAAGTAAGGCTCTGAAAACAATTTTTACGGATCAAGATGCTGCAATGGCTAAGGCCATACCTATTGTCATGCCTAACACAAAACACCGCCTTTGCACTTGGCATTTGATGCAAAATGCATTAAAGCATGCAAATACTATCTTCAATGATAAGGAGGTGAATACCTATTGTCATGCCTAACACAAAACACCGCCTTTGCACTTGGCATTTGATGCAAAATGCATTACAGCATGCAAATTCTATCTTCAAGGATAAGGAGGTGAGGGATAAGGGGATGAAGAGTGTTTTATCCAAATTTATGTACGCCATTGAGGATAAGGATGATTTTACGTTAAAATGGGAGGAAATGCTTGACAAGTATGAAGTGCAAGATAATCATTGGTTGAAGTTAACATTTGGAGTCAAGGAAAAATGGGGTTGGCCATATGTTAGAAATGCATGGGGTGCGGGTATGAGTAGCACCCAACTTAGTGAATCCTTTAATGCATTCTTGAAGGATTTCATTCAGTCTGATCATAACTTAATGCAATTTTTCATGCATTTTGATCGAGTTCTTTGTGAGAAGAGGTACAAAGAGTTACAAGCCGAATATGCTCTATGCCAAAAGTTGCCGAGGGTGAAAATTAAAGTGAAGATTATGGAGCAAGCTGCAGATGTTTACACAAATAAAATTTATGAAGAATTTCAAGATGAGTATATCAAGTCCCTTGAAGTAAACATTGAAGAAACTGAAATTTGTGGTGAGAGTACCATTTATACGGTTCTTGATAGTGATGGTGTAAAGGTGAGGAAGGTGACAGTGGAGTGTGATGGTTCACTCACTTGCAATTGTAGGAAATTTGAAATGAAAGGCATTTTGTGTAGTCATTGTTTGAAGATCCTTAGAGAAAGCCTCAAATTCAAAGAGATTCCTTCCCAATATATTCTGAAGAGATGGACTAAAAAAGCAAGAGCTGAAAATGTCAAAGATAGGTGTGGGCATGATATTAAGGTTGATGTAAGATTGCATCAAACTTCACGCTTTAGATCATTGATGGCAATTTTCAGAGCAGTAGCGTGTAGAGCTTCCGAAAGTGAGGAAACATATAACTTGACGGTAGAGAAAGCGGATGACTTAATTGCAAACATTGAAAGCATGTTAAACGCAAAATTCAATATGCCTTTCTCAGATACTATTGAACATGAAAGCCCTCCTGACACATGCCTCGAAAGCTTTGAAGTGGATGGTGTAGTGGACACAAATGTAGTTCAAGCAAAAGGACTCAAACGAAAAGAGTGCACTAGCAAGGGACGAAGGCGGACAAAAGGTGGTTTGGAGCTTGCGTTGGCAAAGAAAATTAAAACAAGTTTACATAATGCTTCTCAAACTCCCATGTTTGTTGCTCCTCAACCTAGTTCACACAATGCTTCTCAAACTCCCATGTCTGTTGCTCCTCAACCTCCTCCCTTATTTTCGACGAGTGCTCCTGAACCATCTCCCTCATTTTCACCGAGTATTCCTCAATCAGCTCCTTTATTTTCAATAAGTGCTCCTCAACTTCCTCCATTCTCGACGTGTGTTCCTCAAGTTAATGCTTCATCTACTCAATTTATGTATCCCGCCTATGATGTAAGTTACTTTAATAAGAAGCTTTATTATGACTTATTTGTAAATATTTTGTACCATTTTAAATTGATATGTGTTTGTTATTGTTGCAGCCAAGTTATCTTCGTCACAATATGCATTTTTCAATGCCATCGATGTATTCGGTCCATGGAAGCTATCAAGCCTTGCTTAACAATGCAAGTGGTTATGACTCGCAAGCCTCGAATAGTCCTGCATATAGTGAAGTAATTTATTTTTCACCAATCCTCTTTTATCTTGCCATTCATTCATTTAAAGTTTCATTTTATTTTATGGTTCCTTATATATATTTGTTTTCTTTTTTAGGTACTATATGGGCATGGGCGTGGTCGTGGGCGTGGCGAAGGCCATGGGAATGTGGATCACACGTCAATATCGTAGCGTTGAATTTTTTGGTTGGATATGTAATATTGAACACTTTTCATGTTAATGTAGAATTTTGAGAAATTTGTAAACTTTTTTGTTGGATATGTAATATTGAAGGCTTGGCAGATTGTACTGAAATTTGAATGCTGAATTTCGCTAATATCAGTCATAGATGCATTTGATGTTGACATTTTTTTATTTTTTTATGTGAATGTTGATATGTTGTTGAAATATGTGCTGAAATTGTACTGAAATTTGGGTTCATATGTTGCTGAAATTAGGTTGAAATGGTGCTCAAATTTCTGCTCATATGTTGATGAAATTTGGTTGAAATGATGCTGAAATTGGTGATGAAATGTTTCTGAAATTTGTGCTGATATGTTGTTCAAATATGTGCTGAAATGGTGCTTAAATTTGGGCTGATACGTTGCTGAAATTTGGTTGAAATGGTGCTCAAATTTCTGCTCATATGTTGCTGAAATTTGGTTGAAATAATGCTGAAATTGGTGCTGATATGTTGCTGAAATATGTGCTGATATGGGGCTTAAATTTGGGCTGATATGTTGCTGAAATTTGGTTGAAATGGTGCTCAAATTTCTGCTCATATGTTACTGAAATTTGTGTTGATATGTTGCTGAAATATGTGCTGAAATGGTGCTCAAAGTTGGGCTGATATGTTGCTGAAATTTGGTTCAAATGGTGCTCAAATATGTGTTGATATGTTGCTGAAATTTGGTTGAAATGGTGCTCAAATTTCTGCTCATATGTTACTGAAATTTGTGTTGATATGTTGCTGAAATATGTGCTGAAATGGTGCTGAAAGTTGGGCTGATATGTTGCTGAAATTTGGTTCAAATGGTGCTCAAATATGTGCTGATATATTGCTGAAATTTGTGTTGATATGTTGCTGAAATATGTACTGAAATGGTGCTCAAAGTTGTTGAAATATGTTGCTGAAATTTACATTATGTTCAAATCATGGGAATCTCATTCTACTTTGATATCAGCAAAAAATAAGTTTATTTGGGCTGATATGTTGATATGTGTTGATATGTAAACCAAATAAACCAAATCTGTGCTGATATGTTGGTCAATCATTATAACCCTTCAATTTGAATAAAACATTTTTCCATTTGAATTTCTGAAAAATCTGAAAATATATGTTTGGTCATAACAATGGTCTGAAATTGAGTGGGACACAAATCTGACCATCACATGAGGATTGTCCTTCAATTGCAGTGTCCTGATTTACATCAAAGTAAACAAATGGCAACAGTCCATGGAATTCTATATGTGTATACATGGACCATTGTCCTTCATATCTTCAATAACAACATAAACTAGAAGCACAAAAAAACAGTAACATACCATACCAACAATCCAAACCAACAATCGTTGTCATATTTGAAAAAAGTACACTAAAGAGTTTGTAATTTTTTTGAGTTTCATATCATACCCGTCACATTAGAGTATTACATTAATACCTGTCATATTAGACTGTCACATTAAAGTGTTATATAATACATGTTACATTACTAAGGAGTTTTTAGTTATCACATCATACCCGTCATGTTGGAGTATTACATGTTACATTTGAAAAAAAAAATACACTACGGAATTTTTAGTTTTTTTGGAGTGTCACAATATACTCGCTACGTTGTCATATTTGAAAAAAGTACACTAAAGAGTTTGTAATTTTTTTGAGTTTCATATCATACCCGTCACATTAGAGTATTACATTAATACCTGTCATATTAGACTGTCACATTAGAGTATTATATCATACCTATTACATTACTAAAAGGGTATAGCCGTTCACCAAAATACAACCAAAATTTAAAATAGGATCACACGGAAAGAAACACTTTACTAATAGGACTTAACAGATCAATAGAAAAAAAATTTAGACTAATTGGAGTATTTATTTGTGAGATAGAATTTAGTGATAAATATCCCAATAAATTTCTTATGTGCCAAAATAAATAAATAAAAATAAAATATTGGGTTTTTCTGTAAATTAGCGTGGAATGACAAAATTGTAGAGAGGAGTCATTTTTTATGGTTATATTTGAGGTAAGAATAATAGTATAGTAAGTGGTGTTTTGAGAAGTTGGTAAAAAATTAATTTTTTAATTTTTTTTATGACTTTTTTAGTTTTTTGTGTAAAAAATAGAGAGGTTATATGATTCAAAAAAATCAAAAATTCAAAAAATTAACTTTTTACCAGTTTGTCAAAATGCCCCTAAGTAAATTTTGTACAATTTTTTAAAACAAATAACGTAATCTTCTGGGGTCCTAGAACTTCTACACACATATATTTTCTCCACACATACATATTTTTTGGTGGGTACTTTTTTCAAAATTTTAAATTCATTCTTTCTTCCTATACTTTCTAATTAATAATGTTTGGTAACCCGAATTTTTATGACCCAAATGTCTCGAATGACTTAAAACGATGTCATTTTGAGTGTAAAACGATGTCGTTTTGATACATTCGAGTCATTCGAACCATACAAATTCGAACTACTAAATATTTTTCCTTTCCAATAGTATCAATGTATGCTTACAGCTTTGGGGCCTAATGACATAGAGGGGAGAGGTTGGGTATTCAACTCTCCCTCCCTCAATGTGTAACAATTAACAATTGATTTATTCAGATTAAAAATAAAAATTAAAAAAGAAAAAAGAAAAGAAACTTCACAATTATTCTATTCATTCACCCCCTTTTACCTTCTCTTTTATCCACTAAATTTAGGGGTGTAATTTTGGCCCGTGGCCTGCCCACGGCCCAAGGTGGGGCCGGCCCGTTTAGGCTCGAGTCCAAGCCCAACCCGAGGCCTTGGGCAGGGCTTGGGCTATCGTTTTGAAGCCTAGCCCGGCCCATGGGCCAGGCCCGCATGACACGGCCTACTCGGGGCCTAGTGTTATTTTTAATGGAAAAAAATAAAATTTTGGTAGAAAAAATAATATAAAAAAATTTTAAAATTGTTTAGACCCGCTCAAGCTCGAACCCAGGCCTAAGACCAGGGGCCCTGCCTGAGGCCTAGCCCACTGGCCCGCCCAAAGCCCGAATACCCTTGGGCCTAGTTTTTTGGCCCGTGGGTCGGCCCGGCCCGGCCCGGCCCGATTTTTGGAGGGAGCCTGCAAGGCCCGACATGGGCGGAGCTCGGCCTAAGTCCGAATGAGTTGGGTCGGGCCTGGCCAAAATTACACCCCTAACTAAATTACCAAAATAGGTGGCAGCCTAGGGTTTTGTTGATGGTGTGCAACTACAGGGTTCAAGGGACTGCGATGCAGAAGAGATTGAGGATTGTAGGTGAGACAGGAAGGTAAGGTCAACGATGGATCCTAGGGTAGGATATGGGTAGTGAGTAGTGACGAAGGGATGAGAGGGATGGTGAGGAGTTGGCGCAGCCAAGATGGGAAGGTGTAGATAGAAATTTTTGTTTTAATCATAATTTTGTATAATGGTAGAATGGCAATAAAATATATAAAAAGTGAAAAAAAGTTATAGATTTAGCAGTGGTTTGTGATGATCTAAATAAGTATACTTTTTGACTTTTTATGAAATATGGGCTAGGTATAGGTTGAGTTTGAAGTGATGTGATAGAGTGGTGATGTGACTTAAATAAGATGATGTGACTTAAATAGGATAGTAACTTTTTAATTTTTTAACTTTTTAAATTATGACAAATAAGACCTTACAAAGAATAACAATAGTATAAGGGAGTTTTTTGATAAATCCACTTTCTAAGAGCTTTATTCCATCCAACCCATATTCTTTTTTACTATTCCATTAGGTTCTATTTGAGATAAGAAGATCAAAATACCCTTTTCATCTACTTATATTCCATTTAGTTCACATTATTTTCTTATATTTCAATAAGTTCTATGGGTGACATAATCACCAAAATACCCCTAATGTGAATATTCACACCGTCAATGTGAATGTTCATATCGTCAATGTGTAGAGGCCCAACCCATGTCGATCCTCGTGGGTGCCCGAAAAAATTCGAGTCGGGCCGGGGCGGGGCCGGCCTATTGAGAATGTGAATATTTACATTGACATGTTAACATTCACATTAATAGGAGTGTAAAATTGGCCCGCGTCCCGTGGCAGTGCGAAACCCGTCCACAGCCCATGGGCGGCCCGGGGCGGGCTTGGTCTAGCCCGTTGACAATATAAATATTAACATTGACATATTAACATTCACATTGATAAGAGTATAAAATTGGCCCGCGGCCCATGGGCGGCCAAAAACCCGCTCACGGCTCGGGGCGGGCCCGGCTCGGCCCGTTGACAATGTGAATATTCACATTTACATGTTAACATTCACATTGACAGGAGTGTAAAATTAGCCCGCGCCTCGTGACTGCCCGAAACCCGCCCACGGCCCGGGGCAGGCCTGGCTCGGCCTGTTGACAATGTGAATATTCACATTGATAAAAGTATAAAATTGGCCAGTGGGCCCGGCCCGACCCGTTGACAATGTGAATATTCACATTGACATGTTAACATTTATATTAATAGAAGTGTAAAATTAGCCCGTGCCTCGTGGCTGCTCGAAACCCGCCCACGGCCCGTGGGCGGCCCGAGGCAGGCCTGGCCATTTCTTTTTAATTTTTTCTACCAAAATTTTATTATTTTCCACAAAAAAAGACACTGGGCCTTGGCGTGGGCCGGGCCTCGAACCGAGCCTTGAATGGGCCTTAATCGGGCTAATAGGCTAGGCCGGGCCGGGCTTCAAAGTGATGGCCCAGGCCTTAGCATAGGGTCTCGGATTAGGCTTGAGCCTGGGCCCAAACGAGCCTTTCCCGGGCCGGGTCGGGCCGGCCCACGGGCAAAAAAATTAGGCCCAGGCCCTAGCCTTGGCACAAGGGTATTCGGGCTTTGGACGGGCCGATAGATCGAGCCTCGGGTCGGGCCGGTGGGCCTGGGCTTAGCCTCGAGCTTAGGTGGGGCTTGAGCGGCCCTGACCATTTTTTTAATTCTTTTTAATTTTTCTACCAAAATT